CTCGCATGCCAAGTCGCAATACTTGAAAGGATTCTCAATATTATAAAAGATTCTGCTTTGATATCAGGAAAGTATTGTGACACAAATGATCACATGTGGCATAATATTATTGATAAAACACCGGAAAACAACTTATTTAACATGTTTACCTTTTTTTTAAAAAACTCCTTATAATATGTGGGGTAGGTTCTGTAGTGTTGGAACAATCCTTTAATGAACCATCATATTCTTTTCTATATTTCTTACTCTTTCTTATGTAGGATGGGGTGTTTCATCAAGCCTTAAAGTTGATTTTATCAATTTTAAGGCACTAAAACCAATTATTATCCATTTTTAATTGTTGGGGCACCGCCAGTTTTTATTGCAGGATTTGGCTATTAATGATTAATAAAACTTTTCTTAAAACCATTTGATTATCATGTGTTAGTACATGTATCATGTATTAGTACATTAGAACATGTATGCGGATTACATTAAGAATGTAATCGATTTATCATGGTCTTATTTTTGAAAAATAAGTGGAAAATATGAATGAGATATAAATTCAAACATACAAACTGACTCTTGAAACTTTTTTTTCAATTTTCTCTAGGGAAAAATGCATTCCGTTGGAGATTTAGAGAAAAAGAGGTGTATGAAGAGGGAGGAGTTACAGAGAGTGAGACAGAGGGAAGGAAGGAGGAAGAGAGAGAGAGAGAAAGAGAAAGAGCAGGGGAGGGGGAGGGGAGAAAAGGGCATTAATGAGAAATCAGCAACTATTATTGTTTACTCTCTCTAAAACTGAAAGTTTATGTTACTGCGTGACTGAATGTCTCTGAGACGGTGTAAAGATGTAGAGAGAATGAGAACAGATAGGAATGCTGATAGAAATTAACATTTTGGAACCCATTTCTCCCATGCCCTCCCCCCCACCTCCAAAAAAAAAAAAAAACCTAAAGGAATAGACAGAAGTTGATATGTCAGAGAAGGAAATGGGCAATTTTAAAAATCTCAAATCTAAATTCGACCAACAAGTTTGAAGCTCCATCAGCAAACGGCATACAAGCACTCTCTCCTCTATCTTTCACTTTCTAATACAAGTACTCACACTTTCTGTCTATCTCAAGCCGTTATTAGATAGTACGCATATTATCCCTCACACATGTACATTAATTGTACCTTTTAATTTCAATTAACTTTATCTGGATAAAGTTGGAGCGGAGAGGGGTCAATCCTGATTGACATGTTGATGGTCCGTGTCCGTGTAACCTTTTCAAAAATCCAAAATTGTATACATGTAGGTCAGGGATGGTATTCTCAAAGTTGTGGGTTAATTCACTCGCATAACATTTATCAACGCGTCCCAACTCTAGACAGTTCTTGTATGACATCCTCTCCTGCAACAATTTCTCGGAGGTCAATTTCCTACACTAACCAAACTCTGAACTTTGACCCCGGACCCAACCTATACATAACCAACTCTACATTTAACCTCATACCCAATATATCAATCTGTTAACCGATGCATTTCAATTCATGCATGTTCCTCTCCTTAGCCCCTGGTTACCCGCCCCTTCATTCACCTGCTACAAATAACAGCATTCCCAGGGATGGGATCCACTTTACATTCATTCATTATTGCTATGTCGGGCAAGCATCTAGCAATCTTATTTTAGTTGTTAAGAAAAACTTTGGTCAAAAAGTAAGTATAAAATGAGTAAATAGGTCTCATGGAATCTGTCACTGGAGCATACCGGTATGTCATATCTACCTCTCAACATTCACCACACTCGAACAGAACAGAAGAAACAAAATTTGTTGGAATCATTGATTTATTGTAGTAAGGAACAGTTCAATGCACTCTTTTTAAAACTACTACAAGTGTAGTCCCTGAAAAGAACCGTCTCAGATGAAATTATCAAGCTCAAGTAGTGATTTCAGATAGGTATCTTAACTCTTCAAATGCATGCAACAAGTAAAGGAGACATACTACACAGAGATCATAATGCAGGTATATACAAATAATGAAAGTAGAGAAAAAGAAGAGTGAGAGAGAGAGAGAGAGAGAGAGAGAGAGGGGGGAGAGATATAGAAAGAGACAGAGAGAGACGGAGACAGAGAGAGAGCGCTAGCAAAATAATTTTACCTTACATAGAAAAATTACAATACTATTAAAAACAGAACACAGAGGAAAATTAAAGGAAAAATTCAGGACAATCAAATTCGGGTTTTATGTACAATTTGTACATCACTATGTACAATGCATGTATAGGACTCTAGGAGATATAATGGGAGACAGATTACACATTTCCTAATCTTACTAATGATGTGAACACGCATAAATACCTTTTGATCTAAATGTACCCTAACACAAACAAACAGTAGTGAATGATATATCAGATATAGTGTGTGATTCTACTACAGTATGCCAACAGAGGTAACTTTGTTTCTCATTGTTTTGTACTTGTGTGTAAAAAGGGCACAAGTTTAGCGTCCGTTTCCCGCAAGGAGGCCCTAACAGACATGTACTGGCAATAGCAGCCTTCTTGCCGGTAGCTGACAGTATATTCTTAGCATTCATAGTTTGTAGGATACATCGGTAATATCACATCAAATAGCAGCATTCAAATATTTAATTAATACCTGATTGAAAAGAACTCCATTGCAAGATAAGGAGAATGTTAACATGCCCTGACTCAAATGGTAATATTCACAGAAATTAATATCTAAACAATTTTAGACTTAAGTTTTAGTCGAGAATATATATTCTGCAGTAAATTAATATCCTATTTTGTACCAAGACTTAACAAAATTCTGAGTGTAATATAAGAGAACAAAATACAACCTTGCATCTGAATATAAGCATCATCACTACCAAGGTTTAAATGGTGTATATTTTACTACATTGTAGTTTGTACAAGGTACATGCACACACAAATGTTTTTATTCCCCTTGTGGATTATCTTACTATCTCTAAATCTAAATCTTGTCTTTTTATGGAAATAGAGAATTGTTTTATTCTTCCAATTACAACAACTGCGATTTTGGGAAGCTTTTTGCTGGAGATTTCTTTCGAGAGAATTTTGCTATACTCCCAGAGTACGGCTCCATAATCTGCATGATTGTGGAGTGAAACTAAAGTAAAAAAGCACAATGAATGTTCACAAACAATTAATCCACGACTAAAATTTGCCTTTTCTCCGTGATAATTCACCATCAGCTGCATGCATTATATGCTTAGAAGATCATGTAGCCAGTTAAATGTATCAGAAATAAGCCTGCCCCCTCCACTACATTACCCTTCCCCCACCCCATTTTTTCTAACAATATATCCTAAACAATTGGGAGTTTTGTGGAGCTACAGTGTATGTCTCTACAAAACACCCTTTGGTTTGATACATTAAGCATAATATAACATCTTTTATATATAACTTAGATAAACATGTTGGTGACACATCAATATGGTTATTAGGTTGAGAAATCATATAATACATGACTATTCCATTGCAAGTTCATCTTATCATCAATGGTTTGAAGTTAAATAGAAGTTGCATCAAGCTACATGTACATATTAGCATTCATTGAGCATAACAAAGAAATTCTTTAATGAACTTCATGCTTGACATTACAAAAAGAGTCTCCATAATAATTGTGACTAAAGAGGTCACCTGACTTTGGGAGGTAGGTCACCTGACTTTGGGAGGGTAGTCATATACTGCATGTACAGCCCCAGTCAAACATCATGTGGCATTAAAACTTCCTCCAAAAAGCACCGCAGCAAATATGTAAACTGACAAAACGTTCTAGCATTTCAAGTTTATATTTAATTGTATCCAGTGAAAAAAATACACTGGGGCTCGGGGCAAATTAGCCCCCGAAAGTCATAAAAGAGGCCAAAAAATTTTGCATAGAGTTCAATGCAAAAAAATTAAAGAGTGTTATGTTATGGCAAGCTTGAAAAGTAGCCCCCCAAATTTTAAAAGTATTTTTTTCACTGATTGTGTCCTACAATAGTAACAATACACAGATCATTTGGAGCGCTTAGTGGCAATTTTTGCACCCAGCCACTTGTTATTGTTTTCTTTTTTTTACCACCCTCGCCATTCAGTGAAAAAAATACACAGGGGCTCGGGGCGAAATAGCCCCCGAAATGCCCAAAAGAGCCCCCTAAAATCAGAAAAGAGCCCCTGTAAATTTGCATAGAGTTCAATGCAAAACAATTTTAGAGTGTTCATTTCATGCAGGCAAGCTTGAAAAGTAGCCCCAAAAAAATAAATATTAAATTTTTCCCTGGGCATTGCCATTCATTTAAGATTAAAATGCTTTCTACATTTTGTCGCTTTTGCCTCTGTTGTTGGCTTTAGGCAGTTTTAATACAATGTCAGGTTTGAATGAGGCTTACTTTTTATATATTCTTTAAACCAACTTATTTGCATATTATAAGTGAACATGTATTTTTGCAAATTGCAATGCAAAATTCCAGCACAAGTGTTCAAATGTAGCTGTAATTAGTGACCCCTTAAAAAATGCATTTTGATTTAGTTTCACTATGAATATATAAACGGTGATACCACAAAATAAATACTGAACAAAAACAAAAAATTGGTAAAAAAATAATTCCTGAATTCCCTCATAATGCTTGCAACCAATCAAATCAGGAAAAAAGACTACAAATACTTTAAATTAAACTTAAATACTGAATTAACTTCCACCCAAACCCCCTTAAAAGCCAACCAAATAACACCTTAAGATCTCTCCATGCAACATGTGTACTTCTCAAGTTCTCATAATAATAAGGTAAACATGGAAAAGTCTGTATAATTCCATAAACAGTCAAATTCCTACTACCGGTAATACAACCCTGTTTGTTGTTGTTTATTGTTTTGTTTACCACTACCTACATGCTTTTCATATGGAAACATTGTGTAAAGATTGAAGCTACAAAACCCTGGATAGGAACGCGTACACAGAACTGGTTACTACTCACAAGAGCCGCTGGTCTTTGACTTCATCCTCCGTTAAAAACATGTACAGGGGATCAACACAGGAGGGCGCCCTCTCACGTTGGCGGATCTGTCTTCTTGAAGCCAAACGACAGCTTAGGGCGACTGCTCTTTTTGTTCAGGATAACCTCCTGTTCGGCCTTGTGACGCCGCTTTTGCTCGCGCTCAAACGCCTGGCGCTCCTCGTCCATTTTACGTTGCCTCTCCACCATCTCCAAGCGTTCCTCAGCCTACAAACCAGAAAGAGAAGGAAGCATGTGAACGCAAGGCCAAAAGACAAATGTTTCTTCTCGACATATAAAATTGAGGGAAATCCCTTTTAACAGTCCCCGATCTCCCCTAAAATACCAAATCTAATTACTTACCAAAAATTGAAACCCCGAATTAGCAAAGTGTGTATTTAAAAAAAAAAATCATAATTAGCCTCTTTTTTTCTTTTATTTTGTACAGAATAATGGACATAATAATACAGATGACCCTCATCATAATGAAATCATTGTCTTCAACTTTCCTTCCGTGATATCCTGCATTGGTGAAAGCTTTCGTGTACGAAGTGCAACTTATTTTAAATATAGCCCCCCCCCCCCACCCCCCACCAAAAATAAAATATAACCAAAGCACTTCACCCTTTGACAAAATATTCATTATAATGAGGATGACCTGTACATCATTATTAATAACCATCTTTTCTAAAAAAAATGATATTGAAATATAGAGAATCTATTGGCATGATAAATGCTCATCCTAGCCCCTTTTCAGCATCTATTATTGCTTGCAATGTTAGTACAAGAACATCTTATGTACAGAAATCATGGCATTAATGCACGATCAGTAAATACTCACGATTTGATGAAATACCACTTGGACAAGAATTTTGCATTTTCTTCCTTACGATTTTATGGACATTGTCAATAAAAAGATGAAGAAACCGCTTTGCCTATAAACATTGTACTTTGTCAAGCAGATATTGTGTTCTAATCTGAGCTTTTGCGTTTCTCCTTAACATTATTTCAACCATGAAAAACTTATTATAACTGAAATTGTATGTAAATTTCATTTGACTGCTTTTTGCCAGCGATGTATAATAATGTGTTTTTTAGATTAAACCTTCGGGAGAATTATACAAGTACATGTAAATGTGCTTCCCATAGTCACTCAAATTTTAGTGAATTCTCTAAAACCGACATGACATTTTAATTTCATGGTTGGGTTAAAGAACTCTTGGGGGAAAGAAACTTTCAAGCATGGTCATAAAAAAAACAGACTAGGAGACATAATTTGAGGTATGTATCTACAGGAGCTGAACAACTAGTTGTAACGGAATGCAAGGGCGGGTATATATGAAGTCTTATGCAATAGGGTCCCAGTCTCCCAGACATGGGTAGAAAGTTATATGCTGGGGCCAGTTGCAACCGTGTTGGGGGAAACAAACCAATTTAAACTTGCAAGCCTTCAATCAGCGGGTACTTTCCAACTCCTTTTCTTGGCGGATTCCGGCTTTACAGCACTGCGATCTAAACTGTAAATTCCTGTACTTCCAGTTATTTTAAGCATTGTTAAAAAACAACACTGCTCACGAGTGTCTGAAAATGTCATTAGAATCAATGCGAGCACATGGTTTGAAGGCAGATGTATAAACTGCCTAATCCTGGTAAATTAGCGTTTAGCTGTGGAGGAAAAGTGAACGGTCAGCTTATGATATATATCACCTTCCAGAGAGTATTCCATTAAATAGGCAACAGAGCAAAATGAATATAATACAGTAAACACATACATTACATTCACATGTAAATGTAAGAAAGGTAGAGGGAAGTTAAGGAACATTTACTAAAGTGACAGATTTATAAAAAAAAATGAAAAGGGAATATATTAACTTCCGATATACACATATTTATCTAGATCTACTATGTAACAGGTCATCTGGCAGATGTTTGCAGGAAATACAAAAATAATGAGTAAAGGAAAAGTGGAAAAGAATTTTTGAGACTCTAGTGTGCTTGACATAAACTAATGTTTATAATTGGGATAATCAACTGATAATTTGCTCATTATTTTAAGTATATAAAAAATATCACAGCACAGTCAGCAATAAAGTTTATATGGCTTATGAATAATTCATAATAAGGCCAAGAAAAAAAGAAATGGTACCGACACCGTGTAAATAGTATAAAAACTGAATATAGTAAATTAACAAAAAGAATCCACTACATTTTTATTAAAAGACAGGTTACACAAAATGAAATATTCATGTAGAGCATGTTGTTCTTTATCATTATTCATTCTCTTCCCCAAATACTACTTCAATATAAGCCTACTTCAATACTTCATATACGTCTCACTTGGGTGAAATAACACACATGTCAAATTAATAATAATCAAACTGGAACACATACATTAAAGATACTATGTCTCTTTTGCAGCCAACATCAAATTCTGTAGAACTTTGCAGGAATCATGAATATGTCATTAATGTCCTATCTGTGAAATTTAAACGTTAGCAGTGTCCTAATATTCAAATTATGCAAGGTAACCTGTTTACTTGCTAGACTTCACTGTCAGACACTATTGAGAGACTGACTGGGTTTTTTTCTTCTTTGGTAATGACATACATAAAATGAGCTGTAAAGGGTACATGAGCATTTGTCTACATCAATAACCCACTTCTTGTAATGGCCAAAATTAAACTGATTGAATCTTTGCGCAGCATAAAACGTATGACCATTCGGTACAATGGTCTGAAAATCAGACTATTACTTACTGGCTCTATAGCTCTCAAGTCGATTCAACAACTAATTGTCGTTATTTTCCCACTTAAAGACATTTTCAAGCCCTCTTTTTTTCAGGGAAGTTCTAAATTAATATTATCTTTCAAATTCAAATGCTGTTGAAATTTAATCTTTTCATTTTTGGGGGCCTGCAAATAGGACATAGTACCTTTAATATAAAAGCTCTGCAAACTTTCTGTGTTAGTATCACACAAAAACATGGAAGAGGTAGAGAAATCAAAAGGAACTGAAAAAAATGACAATGACAAACTAATGTAAATCAAGGGGATTTCTATAAATTCTACTTTTTTTTCAGTATCCAAACAAAAATCTTAAGCCATTCATTAATTTATATTAATTTAATAATTCCACATTTTATTATTATTTCTGGGGCTGTTCCATCTCATTTTTAATTGATGGTTTTACTTCTGCGCTTTCACTAAATAAAAGATTGAAATCCAATTAATGTACATTTAGAACTCTTTGTCTAAAACAAAGAATGTAATAATTAGAAATGAAATCAAACCTATCGCATTTTCAAATGTGAAAATGTCTCTAAAAACTGAAACATGAATCTTATAGTATACCATCATCTACTTAAAAATTTATTATACCTCCTCCTAATATATATGCACTAGCCGTACTATTATAAGCAAAATACATTAAGAACAATAGTGCTTTTGATTTTGATCAATCTGCAACAGGTGAAAGATAGAATATATACTTGATTACCAAAACATGTGTAGAATATATAGAGAAATGTGCAATTGATTTTTCATCACATAACTGACACAAAACACATAAGGTAAAGGAACAAGCATTAGGCCCAATAAAATTAAATACCAGTTTCCTGTCAGAGATTAATTATTTTTCTAGTATACATCACAAAGGGTTTGAATTGATATTTGATGCGACATGACCGTACTTCTGTCCAAAATCCTTGATTTGAAATTCCAACTCTAAATATCAAATTCAGTACCAGCATAAATCTTTTTTTTTTTTTTTTTTTACAGTCTCTTCATTTGTAGAAATTGTACATAACCTGATATTTTTTTAAAGGTCGCTTTGCAGTGCATGATGTGGTGACAGTAAACTGGAAATTAATTTTATTGGGCCTTTTATTCAGATACAATGTATGGGATCGATCGGAATAGTTTCTGTAAAAAAGAAAGCCTGTAATAGAAATGCAAAATGTAATACATGATGTATTAGGCTGTTATCCCACAACGGGAAAAACGATAAAGATACAAAATAATTTCACATAATGCATATAAATGGTAGAGAAAAAAACCTGTGAAAGGAAAATCAAACATTTCAGTTAGGTTGTGGGGAGGATGAGAAGGGAAAGGGATTGCTCTTAAGGGATAGATTACCTAAATAACTTTTCATTTAGAACATTTTGCGTACCCCCCCCCCCCTTATTTCCCCTCTCTATCAATTCATCTTAAACAGTTTCTCTTTCCTGCTTATTTTCCAGACTTTAAAAAAAAATCTTTTATTCTTCCTGGGCTGTGTTTTGGGTCTTTTCTCAACCTCCCACAGCTACTAGACATTGACAACTCACCAGTTTTCTTTGGGCTTCTTCAATCTTGCGCTGATTTTCATGCATGATCTTCTCAAGCGCCTCTCGTTTATCCAGTTCTTCCTCCTGAAAATGGTCAAAAATTGAGTGAATAAGAGCTGATATAAAAATAATAGTGTTCTTTGGTTCAGTTCAATAAAGCCGCATACCGAACATAACATACATGTACTATGTAAACGCTTTTAATGTGTCCCAATCACCAAATACTATAAACTTGCTCTGTATATTAGAGGTCCAACCTATGTGCAGATCTACGAGTATTAACAAGCCCTTCTTAGTGTTTAGCAACTTCAGTTCTGGCTTACCTGTATGTATGCTTGTCCACGCATGTGGTAAACCTATAACAGAATCTATTTAACAATTAACTTTTAAGTTAATGACATAAGCTATCTACAGGTAGAAAAGGTCCCAGAGAATGAATACTTCATGTACAGATCATGGTATCTGAGGTATAAGACTATAAGGCAGGTTACGGCGTCATACATGTATATTTAGGTTTTAAACTGACCTCTTTAGCTTTCTGTGCTGCTACTTCTGCTTCTCTCTGTTTCTCCATCTCCTCCATCATCTCTTTCTCCATAATCTTCTTGGCCTCTTCCACCCTTCTCCCGACTTCCTCTTCAATGTCATCTTTCCTCTTCTCCAACTCCTCCTCCACCCTCTGTGCCACCATCTCCTCCACTCTCCGAGTCACCTCCTCCTCTATCAACTTGGCCTCCATCTCCTGCTGTCGTCTGGTAATCAACAAACATCAAAGTATAACATTACTATAAGGTTTAGACATTATATCGCAGAGAATCTCCTGGTGCCAGCTCTTGGGGCATTGATCGCTGGTCTCTCTCACTGGAATTCTGCATTGTGTATGTTTTTTTCTTCTTAGTCCGACATATGACTGACATCTTGTACAATTAAGTTCTTCATCTTAATGTTTAAAGTCACATTTTAAAAATGATCCTGAAGATGAAAATGTAGAAATAACCTTGAGATTATGCATACCGTACATACAGTGGTAAAGACCATGTTTTATATTGCATTGGACATAAAAGAATTCCCCATACCTTACCAGATCAGATGGTTATTTCTGTCTAGAATCATTACAGAAAAAAATTACAATTCATTTGTAAATCATGACAATAAATCAGTTCATCTGGCAGTTATTGAGTTAAAAACCTCCTGGGCCTGGCCTGGAATGGAAGTGAGCTTCATGCTTTCCGAGTCCCCTGCTCTATTCAGTACGTAGGATGAGCTTCTGTGTAGACTCTATCCCACTTTCTATGTAGGCCTAGAACTTTAGAAGGTTGACAAATTATCTTTTTTTTTCATCAAACAGGAATTTGTACAAAAAGTGTACAAAAATTCTCGAACTGTATAACTATAAGCTTAATTAAGGCAAAGCAGTGCAATTTGCATAAATCTTTTGAGACTTGTGTATGATAGACAAAAAGCTAAAGGAGGCAAAGGCCAAAGGAATTCCTTTTTTTTTTGTAAGCATCCGGCCGGACACACGACACAGTCAATAGCCCCCCCTGCCATTTAGATTTTACTTTTTATTTTAGATCCAGTTTGTTTCAGACTCAGCTTCATTTTTCACTTCAGTTAATAATGTTTTAATTTAATATTAAAACCTGTTCAACTTAGTTTGGTTAAATGCAGTTATTACATTTATTTCACCTGTAAATCACTTCAAACAAGATAGTCTAGATAGGAATGTATTAAACCCCATTTGTTCTCACATTCTTCTCTGTCTTTCCAGCTCCACTCGTCTCTCTTCCTCCTGTCTCTTCTGCACTTCTTCATGAGCATTACGCTTGCTCAAATCCCTGCCGAAAATGTCTATATCTGGACTTGGAGTTTTCCGTTTTGATTTCGACCTTTCCCGTCTTCTCCTCTCCCTTGATCTGGATCTGGAACGCCTAGATGATTTGCTACTTTTATGTCTTTCCGATCGTTCTCTTTCCTTTGTTGATCTTTCAGCTCTTTCTGCCTCCTTTCTTTCATGTCTGTCGTGTTTTTCTCTATCCCGATCCCGCGCCTTCGATTTTGACCGCGATCTGGATCTGGAACGAGTGCGAGATCGCTTTTTCTTGCTTGATTTTCGCTCTACTGATGAGCTCTTGCTTCTTGAACGAGGCATGATTTCTGTAGATTCAGATAAATGATCTGAGAATCAAAATTTTATCGTAAAAGTTCATTAAATTGCAAAAACATGGGTCACCTTTCGTCCATTTTCCTTACTGCAAAAGTCTACGACGCGATCGATGCGTTGACTATGATTAGCGCCCAATCACTAAACCCACAGTAAACTCGGAATACATTTTCGCTCTCTGAAATTGTGTCCATTATCGGTCTAAAAGGTAAAAACGCCAACAATGGCAAAATAAAAGAATAAATTGAACAGGAAATTTTTAAGACATCTCTTATGTGTTTGAGATTCGATTTAAATTGCTAGGGAAATGTCTAAAATCTTAAAATCGGTGGTAGGTTTTTGTTACGCGAAGTGCTCTGTACAATAACGAGCATACATGCCGTCTTGTGAGTTATTAATGGCCGACTTTGATTTTGGTCGACTTGTTTTGTGTGCGTAAAAAAAGTGGAAATTTACTCACAGCTAGCTAGCTAGCTATCTCTAAAGCTAACAATAAAGCAAAGTTTGGGGTATCGTATGGGTAGATGCTCTCCTACGTCTATATGATCATCAATCTTATAGAGCAATATTTGATGTCATGTTTACGCTATTATAGCTATCTGAGTTCATAATGAGTAATAATAATTGTTCACAAGAAGAGTGAGGTCCAGGGGTTTATTGATGATACATTTAAAAGGAAACTTTTAAATCGCAATTCCGCTCCCGCGGGAATTTGCATATGCTTCTATACCATATATACCGAGTTTTGAAAATGATGACTCCTTCCTGTTTCTATTTTCCTCCTTTCGTGTCTCCTTCTCTTCCATTCTTGTTCAAGCAATGATACCAAATCGACGGGTCATAGTGATCAAAGAGGGAAACCTTTTCATTGCAGACCCCGCCTCCCCCCCCCCCCCCTATCTCATAATGGACTTTTCAGGGCTTGAACTATATAGGCCTGGGCATCTTCTTCTTCTCTCTCTCTCTCATCCTCTCTCTAACCCCCCTACCCCCCCCCCTCTCACTCTCTCTCTCTCTCTCTCTCTCTCTCTCTCTCTCTCTCTCTCTCATTCTCGCCCAATATCTCTTTTTTTCTCTTTCTTAATTGAACACCAAGGCCATCTTTGGGAATCTGAATGATTTCTACTCTATTTTTACCACACAGCAATACAACATCAATGACAATCCTTTTACAAGCATGACAGTCATAGTAATCTATTTATTCATTTGATATTTACAAATAAGTATCTCTTAATTGTGCACACATTATTTTGGCTTAATTTGAATCATCGGGTCGATTTATTATTTCTTCTTCACTTGTCAGAAAAATACCGTACATGGATGTAGACATTTGAAACTCAGTAATAAATACTCCGCACCTAAACAAGAGCATAAATGGGCAGCAAATAAACAAGTGATTATCGACTAAAACAGCTCTATACATAAATACCGATTCTACGAAGAATTCTCCAGGAAAACTGGTCAATAAACATTAAAAGAGGATGAATAGCCCCCTTGCTATATATGTCCTCTTATCAGTAGCTTTGTTTATATTCCTATTTCATATAAGTAGGCCAAGTGCCAAGTGCCGCCAATTTCTGTCTCAAAAGAGACAACACAAATATATCAATGCATATTTTTCAGCTTGCAAAATTGCCCCCCCCCCCCCCTCTGCCCCCTCCATGCAGCAAAGTCCTATTGCTTTTATTTTGGACAAGAGTTTATGTCAGCCCCTTGTATAAACAATGAGCAATGAAGTCAAATTAGTTAAGAATGATTGTACAGCATACATAATATAAAAGTTGACTGCGAGTGAAGTATTTCAGGGAGAAATCTGCAGATAAAGCTCACATTTTGTCTGCACCAACTGCAGCAATACATAATACTATAACGGAAATGATACGTTATCCTGTGCGTGCCAGTGGTTAGCAGAATGGCAGAACACAGCCCCACTTTCCAGATTGCTGATAGCATAGAACCAAAACAACATTCGTTCATTCAATGTACTGATTTATCTGTCCCATGTCATTCAACATAAATATTTGGTTTGCTCACATGTAACATAAAAGCTCAGACAAAGTTTACAAAGAACAGAAATATGATACGAAACATGGATACATACATGGTGATGACAAAATAATAGTCATCGTAAACAAAAATTAGCTACCGGTATTCATAAAATTACCAATGTCATTGATATGTATCTATTCAAACTTAACAACATTTGTCTAGACATTTGTCTAGTGTGGATACTCAGTGTGGTTGCATGATATTTGCACACATGATATGTATGAAAATGCATAAAATATATGAGGCATTCTATTGCACAGCTTCCTTAGCAAGTGTGTCCTGAACCAGGACAATAACTAATGTTTCTGTCGCCTTGAAACAAGTAACCCTGTTTGCTAACTGATTAACAAACGTTTGGTTGCAATTTCTCCACATGATCACTCACTTCAGCATTCACTTTTAACTGCTATGCTTGGTCAGCATGGTCTAACCTAAGGGATTGACCATCAGGATATAGGAGTGGTCAAGTATGTCATCCACCCCTATAATTCTACAGAGGTGGTTTCATCTTCTTCATCCATTCGTGTCAGTTCTATCAATTCCTCACTCACCGACGTACCCTGAAAAGACAGAAATAAGGATAAAATTATTCAGACAATTATGGAAGAAGGTCTTACAAAACTTACTTTAAAAAACATATCATAACTAGTTTTAATTGCTAACAGTGCAATACTGGAAAGAAGCTTTAGTAGAGTTTCAACACATGCTTATTGCTCTGTGGTTAATAAGCTGAACTTACCAAATTTCCACCTTCCCAAGAGGGAAGCCCACAGCATCCGGCTAATTATTGCCTGATAGTAAATTTTTAGGTAAATTAGTATACAAGGCACTGTAACCTTAGTCAATTGACAAACTAAGAAGAACTGTAGAATTATGTTTTGAGATGTTTTTTGAAGAAGTCAAGTGAAGTAATATTTCTTAGAAACGCAGGGAGTTTGTTCCATAGGAGTGAGGCAACGGACTGAAAGGATATAAAGCCAGCCTGTTTTTTTAGATAAGTGCCTATTAAAGAATAAGAACCTAACCCCAACGCAAACCGGAAACCCAATAGCCCCATTAACCCTAACCCGAATATGTGAAAATTAATTAAACCAAGAGCAGTCGCCTATAGAAGTTGTCGCTGGAGCACTTGTGAGCCGGGTAACTGCTAACACTCACCCTCTTCCTAACAGAGTTCTCTTGCCCTCTGCTAGTACTCTCTGATGGGTATCTCATCCTAGGGGTCAATAGGGGTTCTGCAGGCAGGTGACTGTTGTTGTAGATAATGATGACCAGGAACACTGTAGGCATCTGCAAGAAGAAGTCCAGGGTCGGTTGGAACCCCGTCAGCCATATCGACAGGCTGATGATGACGACAGTCGTGACCTGCGCACTGTGGACATGGAACATGTTGTCTCTGAACTTCAGGATCAAGGACGTTGTGAGTCCAAGCGCGGCTGTGGCAAAGATGAGCAGCGTGGAGTACCAGGAGTATCCGCTGAACATCCCGCAATAGAAGACGCGGTTACGGAAGTTCGGAATGACAAAGAGCGTAAGCGTGTTAAATATCACCCCAAAGGTATACAGCCGGGTGTTCTGAACGATGTACATGTAGATACCATCCTCGTTGTGGCCTTCCTTGAAGATCTTCTCATTGTAGATGTTCGCAAAAGACGACAAGAAGCACTGAACCACGATCAAGACATGCCCAAAGCTGACCGTGAAGCTGTACTTGCTGGCCTCTGAGATGGAAGGTTCGGGCGTGTGGCGGAGTTTCCGATGGCAGAGGTCCGAAGGAACGGCTGGAATGGCATGTCGCTTCTGGAGGATTTCCACCTCATAGAGAGTGGCATTGTCTATGGAATCTAGCGAGTCGGATGTGTGGTGGTGACCTTTGAGCGTGCTCCGGTGATCTTGGTTTGATAACGACACAATCGCTAGAAAGAGAATCAGGAGAGAAGCCCACTGCACCCTGCTTAATTTTCGTCTGAAAGAGAAATTCAACGTTAAGAAGAACACAAAAGTTATACAAAAACATATAGCTTTTATCCTCATTTAAACAACTTCACAGTAATTTCAGGCAATTCACTTAAATATATGGCATTATATTCACATGCAGTAATGGACCACAAAGGAGAGCAGGTGATTTAGTGTGGTTGATATTTCTGTGATCATGTAACTGCCATAGTTATTTTATTACCATAGCATATATACACAGACACTATATACTTCTTAGGGAGTGGAGATCGTAAGTAAACATTGTCAGCAGATGCAAAGCCTGTGACAAGAGTAATTGACATCATTAACATACAGATTTACACTTCTGTGCTCAGAAGGAATTCATTCATGTCCAAGAATTCATATGTTTTACTGCATTACACATTTGGACTAAACTAGCAAATACTGTGACGGAATGTTACAGTGTTTAACCTGAAGAGGGCGACATTTTGGTCAGATTGATATAAGTGATTTGATAACGCTGCGAACGGGCAGTCCGTGTTTTGTATTGATGCAGTAAGGAATGCAGTAAAGTAAGCTGAAAGATCAAACATCATTGTAAGTTGTCGTTATTTGTCTCGGATATTACTTTGATTGAAGTGATTGATGAATGCATGATTGAGATCCTCGTTGAATAGTTGTGAGTTGTGAGAGTCGACTGTCTGGGAGAGTTGACTGATTTATAAGACGAGACCTGGTTCGTGTCGTTCGGAATTGCTACCAAGTTCATGGAACCAGATCTCGTCACACTGGTGGCAGCGGCGGGACAACTAAAACAGCGTGGGTCATGCTTCCAGCGTGAAACTACACACTAAGACACGGACTCAAAACACGCCACCTTTTTAGGTGCTAACGTGAGCTGCGAACTATCGAGAAGTGCAGCCAAGTGAGGTGCCAAGTTGAGGTGCCAAGTTGAGGTGCAAGTTGAGGTGCCAAGTTGAGGTGCCAGGTGAGGTGCCAAGTTGAGGTGCCAAGTTGAGGTGCAAGGTGAGGTGCCAAGTTGAGGTGCCAAGTTGAGGTGCAAGTTGAGGTGCCAAGTTGAGGTGCCAGGTGAGGTGCCAAGTTGAGGTGCCAGGTGAGGTGCCAAGTTGAGGTGCCAAGTTGAGGTGCCAGGTGAGGTGCCAAGTTGAGGTGCCAAGTTGAGGTGCAAGGTGAGGTGCCAAGTTGAGGTGCAAGTTGAGGTGCCAAGTTGAGGTGCCAGGTGAGGTGCCAAGTTGAGGTGCCAGGTGAGGTGCCAAGTTGAGGTGCCAATTGAGGTTCTACTTGAGGTGGAAGTTCTTTGTGCTACAGCTCTTAATAAATTCACCATGGATAAAAAGGAGCATCAAAGGTCCTCAGTTAATGAATGTGACCTAACTCAATTGAACACAGAGCTGGAACGTCTACGAATGGAGAATCAAATTTTACAGTTGGAACGTGACAATGCACGGTCAAAAATTAATCTGATAGAAGCAAGACAACAGGGATTGTCTTCACAAAGTACCGTCAAGCTTGGACAGTTCGAAGAACCATCTGTGAGAAGGAGAGTAGATACGGACATGGTTTTCAATGGACCGTACACTGAGAGAAACAAGGGTGAAAACACGCCCGAATGTGGAGAGAAGAAGGGCTTGTATCCTGAGCTATTGACCCCAGACCGGAAGGTTGGAACCGATTGTTCGACTCCTGTGCCGGATACCATGTTTTCTCAAGAGTTGGCTGGGGACATTGGGTCCCCTTTCCTTGAAGGATTCGATCCCAATTTTCCATGGGAAAAGGCCAGTGGAAGAACGAAATCGGCTCTTACGAAGAAGCCTGACAACAAGCAGGGTGATGTGGAAATAAAAGAAGAAGTTTCTAGAGATTGTTCAATAGGAACAAAACAGAGCCAAAGGCCTTGCATAACACCTGATCGGTTCAATGGACAAACATCGTGGCATCAGTACTTGAAACACTTTGAAGCATGCAAAGATATAAATGGTTGGACAGAGGAGCAGGCAAGTGCTTTTCTGACTGTAAGCCTTCAAGGTGAAGCACTCCGTCTGTTGGACCATCAGCACGATCGCAAACTTACGTATAGGGGACTGACCAAGCTCCTAGAGCAGCGATTTGGCCCAAGTCAACAAGCAGAAAATTTTCTGTTTGAATTGCGTCATCGCCGTCAAGGCCAAACAGAAACACTGAAGGAACTTGGCCAAGTCATATGTGAATTGGCAATCAAAGCCTACCCAGACATTCCAGAGGTTGGGAGAAAAAGGCTCGAGAAGAACCATTTTATTGAGGCAATAGAAGACCGGACTATCCGAGAAGGAGTGCACAGAGCTAGGCCAAAGGACATTGACGAAGCTATTCGTGCGGCCATAGAGACAGAGAACTATGAAAGAATCGAAGAAGAACGAAGATCGGAGAGACGTCCGCACAAATTGGTGAGGGGTTCAGAAAAGGAATCTGAGCAACTCATCCAGAAATTGGAGCATTTGTGTGAAAGGCAGGCAACACAATTCGAGACAATGACAAGGCTCATGAATGAAAGATTTCTTTCTTCTGAGAGAGTTCCCAAACCACCAACTCCTGGAAATTCCGGCAAGAAATGGCGGAGAAAAGAAGATTTGATATGCTTCAACTGCAACGAAAATGGACATTTCGCAAGGGAATGTCCTCTTCCTGAAAAGGAGAGGTCGGGAAACGACGAACAGCTGACCGGAAGGTCCACGGGAAGGCTGTAAGAAGTAACGGACCTAGTCGACTTGATGATGGAAGGATTGTAACACTTACACCTAACGAAGAACCCAAGCAAGGCTTATTTGTAGAGGGTACCATCAGGTCTATAAAATGTAGATTCCTCATCGATACAGGTTCAACTGACACAATTGTTAGAACTGACATGTACTACAGTATTGCGAAAGAGCAGAGACCGGTGCTTGAACAAGACAACGTCAGGGTTCAGCAGGTAGATGGAACGCCACTTGATGTGCTAGGAGTTGCCTGGACAGAAGTCAAAGTTGGAAAGACAATCTTTCCATTAAAGGTCATCTTTGCTAATATTAGGAACCAGGTAATACTTGGAATGGACTTTTTGATTCCAACCGCTGGGGTTCTAGACTTCTTCCGGCTGGAACTCATCTTGAACGGGGAACACATTCGATGCCTTAACCAGATAGGGAGATCATTCCTAAGAAGGATTTTAGTGAAAGAAACTATTGAGGTGCAACCAGGTCAAGAAACGCTCGCGCAAGGTGAGATCGCCAACTGTGTGGACGAGATGACGGGTACTGCCATAATCGAACCAGTTGCAGGCGGAGGCGAATTGGCTCGCCATGGGCTGGTGTTGGCAAGGTCCCTTGTCACTGCAGAGGCAGATGTTTTGCCACTGAGGTTGTTTAACCCGGGGAACAACAAGATAACACTTCGCCGGGGAACAATGGTCGGGATGATCTCACCAGCGGAAGTGCATGAAAGTGGGGAAAGGACAGAGAATAGTGGAAACGATGAAGTTCCTTCATACCTACAAGACTTGTTGCAACGAAGCCTGAGCAACATCGATCCGAAATATCACCAAGCTATCAAACAGTGCCTCGTGGATTTTCAAGATGTATTTTCTTCTGGAAGTCACGATTTGGGCCGGACCAATGCTGTCAGACACCACATCGAAACCGGCAATTCAAGACCTATAAGACAACGCCTTCGACGTCACCCTATCGTCAATCAGCAAGAGATTGATCGCCAAGTCAAATCATTAGTGCAAGAAGGTCTCATCGAACCTTCCGATAGCCCCTGGGCAGCCAATGTAGTGCTTGTGACTAAGAAGGACGGTACAAAACGGTTGTGTGTAGATTACCGCGGCCTGAATGTAGCAACTGTAAAAGACGCCTACCCTGTCCCCCGAATAGATGAGACCTTGGATGCACTAGGCGGGGCCAAGTGGTTTTCAACCTTAGATCTAGCTGCAGGCTATTGGCAAGTTGCCCTTGATAATGAAGCTCAAGACAAATCATCTTTTGTGGTTCGCGGTGGCCTATACAAGTGGAAGGTAATGCCATTTGGGCTGTGTAATGCCCCCGCAACTTTCGAGAGGTTGATGGAGAAAGTGATGGCTGGTCTACAATGGGACATATTGCTCATCTATTTGGATGATGTAATAGTGTTCGGTCGGACAGTTGATGAGCAAATCGTACGACTTCGCACAACATTGGCGCGGCTCCGGGAAGCCAATTTGAAATTGAAACCATCCAAGTGCAATTTGTTTCAACAGTCGGTGAAATACCTAGGTCACATCGTGTCTTCAGAAGGAATCACAACCGACCCTGCCAAGGTCGAGACCATTCGGAATTGGCCCAATCCCACATGCAGCAAGGATGTTCGAAGCTTCTTGGGGCTTGCATCCTATTACCGCAAGTTCATTCGCGGGTTCGCATCCATCGCATCACCACTTCATGAACTGACTGAGAAGGCTAGGCGTTTCGAGTGGAATGACGAATGTCAAAGAGCTTTCGAAGAGTTGAAGGAGTGCCTTATCCAGGCTCCGATCCTAGTATGTCCCTTACCAGAGGGGGATTTCCTGCTTGACACTGATGCCAGTCAGAATGGTATAGGGGCTGTGTTGTCCCAAATTCAGGAAGGCGAGGAAAAAGTAGTCGCTTACGCAAGCAAGAAGCTATCGAGGGCTGAGAGGAACTACTGTGTGACCCGTCGCGAGCTGCTAGCAGTTGTGTTCTATTTGAAATACTTCAAGCAGTATCTCTACGGTAGGAAGCTGACCGTTAGAACAGACCACGCTTCTTTGCAGTGGCTCCTCAACTTCAAAAATCCAGAGGGCCAATTGGCACGTTGGATCGAGGTTATCGCAGCATACAAACTGACAATACACCATCGTCCAGGAAAGAAACATGTGAATGCCGACAGTCTGTCCAGAAAACCATGTTCTCAGTGTGGCCTTGTTGATGACACAAGTGACGGCGAAGACACATCTACAGAGACAGGTACTCCCTCCGAGCAAGTCCAGTTCCATTGTAGGGCAATTATTGCCTTACCTGGGGTCACTCGAGAGGCCTTAAGAGAAGGCCAGTTGGAAGATGATAGTATGAGCTGGGTATTGAAGGCTAAGGAAGGAAGAAGCTGTAGACCAGATTGGGAAACAATAGCCAACTCGACAGCTGCAAAGAAAACGTACAGGGCTCAGTGGGACCAATTGGATTGCAAGCAAGGAGTACTATGCAGAAAATGGGAGACGTCGGATGGGGCATGCGTGAAATGGAAGGTTATCCTGCCACGGAAGTACCGAAAAGAATACCTAGAAGCAATCCATGGGGGTACAATAGGAGGTCATCTAGGCGTTACCAAGACATTGTCAAACGTAAAACAGAGGGTTCATTGGTCAGGCATGTCAGGAGACGTGAGGTCATTCATCCGGTCGTGTGACCTGTGCGCCAGAAGAAAATCCCCCTCAAAGAGGGCACGTGCTCGACTTCAACAGTACGAGGTGGGAGAGCCAATGGAAAGAGTAGCAATGGACCTTGTCGGGCCTTTACCCAAGACCATCCATGGGAATCAGTGGATCCTTGTAGTAGGGGATTATAAGAGCAAATGGATGGAAGCGTATGCGCTTCCGGATGCTCGAGCTACAACAGTGGCCCAAAAGTTTGTCGAAGAATTTGTGTGCCGTTTTGGTGTCCCTCGTGAACTACATACCGATCAAGGAACTAATTTTGAATCGCAGGTGTTTGCAGAGATGTGTTCCCTGTTGGGCATTCGAAAGACAAGAACAACAGCTTACAACCCGAAATCAGATGGGCTCATTGAGAGGTTCAACAAAACCCTCATCAATATCACCGCCATGCTCATCGAGCAGTCAAAGAAGTCTAGGGAATGGGATGAGTGCTTGCCATATGCAACTAGCGCATATCGCTGTACTGCACAAGAATCCACGGGAGAGTCACCCAACATGCTCATGCTCGGGAGAGAAGTGACGCTTCCAATAGACCTGACTATGGAGAATCCAAAGTATCCTAGCTGTGATGAACCAAAAACAGACTACGCTGAAAAGCTACGCCAGAATCTACAACAAGCTCACGAACGGGCTAGCGAGTGTCTTGGGAAGAGTGCCAGGCGTCAGAAACGCAATTATGACAGGAAAGCTACCACCACTAATCTCAAGGAAGGACAGTTTGTTTGGTTATATGATCACAGCAAGAAGAAGGGGGTTTCCCCGAAATTACAGCTGCGATGGATGGGTCCTTACCTAGTGGTTACGAAGATCTCAGATGTTACGTTTCGGATTCAGCTGAGTCGCCGATCGAAAGCAAAGGTAGTACATGTAGATAGGCTCAAGCTGTACACTGGTGAAGATCTTCTTGCATGGGAGTATCGCCTTAGAGTTCCTGAGGAGGAATTTCCCTTTGCTGATTCTCCTAATCTTTCCCCTGAGGTCATACCAGAAGAGATCAGCCCTGCCAGTGATGAAACTTTGTCAGATGATCATCAACCCCAGCTTGATGAGACCCCTGCTGATGACCAACCCCAGCTTGATGAGAACTTGCCTGATGATCATCAACCCGGGTTCGATCTTCCCACTGATCTACCTCAGACTCCCGTGATTGAGAGTCGCTATCCCAGAAGAAAACGAAAACCACCAGATTTCTTTTATTAAATAAGAATTATCGACATAAATAATTATTTGTGTTTTGTTCTTCACAATTGCAGGATAATGTCTGAGGAGTGGAAGAAACCAGAGGACTTGGATGGGGACCGGCTTTACAAGTGCCGAGAATGTCTTTCCACGTTCTTGTACCACCGCAGCCTGATGCGCCATATCGGGGAGAACCATCGGGATGGATCCCGGAAGTGGAACTGCAAGACCTGCGATTATTCCTCTACCAGGCGGGGGAATTATGAAAGGCACGTGGACGGACACCGAAAGGACGAACAGCGCACGGTTTCCAGAAGAGAGTCGAGCAAAGAAAGAGAACCGGTGGGCCGGGGCGGTGAAAGGGCAAAATCCCCAGATCGATGTTGTCCGGAGACGAAGAGAGACGACAGAGACCAGCCACAGGAAAACAACACAGCCATTATAAGTGTACATCCAACTCCAGTGCCTAGTATTGATTCTTCCAGAGATGCCAGAGGCAAGCCTCTTGCCATGCTTAAGAGAGCCGCATCCCAGGATGAGGTGGTTTCGTCATCGTCATCAGCATCAACTTCGTCGGAAGAAGCTGAGAGTGGAGGAGAGGGTGCCACTGGAAATGCGCGTACAGACAGACCGGTTTTCAAGAAAGCGAGAGTTGAGAAGAGGATTACGACGACCTTTACTATTGAAGGACGCGTAGTTCGTACGAGAAAGACGAAGGAGTTCTTCGACCGCTTCATACTTGTTTAAGTTAACACTAAGTCTTACTGGTTTACTTGATCTGTTTTGATTACAACTATAGGCCTCAGTTTACAATTTGCTTAAATCAGGTAGGCCTACTAGAGGTCAGGTTTTTTTGTTGTTGTTGTAACTTAAGTATTACTAGTGATCTTACGAGAAAAGTGTTTTGATATTCTTTACATTTCCAAACGTATTTTGGACATTGTTGATCAATGTCTTTGTATTTGTGATTACTTGTGTTATATAATTATATATCTATAAAAATAACAGGAAGAAGAGAAAAAAGGCAAATGTGTAGCTTATTACGTTGATTTGCTTGGACTTTCTTATAGATTGGTTAGGAAAACAAGAATTAATAGTAAAAACCGTTTTACATGTTTTTAATGCCTATATTGTTGAGCTATGTTTAAAATGTCGTTTCGGTAGGTTTAGAACGAGGACGTTCTAGTCTAAGTGGGGGGTTGTGTGACGGAATGTTACAGTGTTTAACCTGAAGAGGGCGACATTTTGGTCAGATTGATATAAGTGATTTGATAACGCTGCGAACGGGCAGTCCGTGTTTTGTATTGATGCAGTAAGGAATGCAGTAAAGTAAGCTGAAAGATCAAACATCATTGTAAGTTGTCGTTATTTGTCTCGGATATTACTTTGATTGAAGTGATTGATGAATGCATGATTGAGATCCTCGTTGAATAGTTGTGAGTTGTGAGAGTCGACTGTCTGGGAGAGTTGACTGATTTATAAGACGAGACCTGGTTCGTGTCGTTCGGAATTGCTACCAAGTTCATGGAACCAGATCTCGTCACAATACTTTTGATCCCAAAACAGTAAAAAAAAAAAATTTTAAAATGCATTGAAGTTTGTTCCGATAAAAAACATCCCTCGCCTATTCTTATATTGAAATTAAAATGAAAACTTGAGATTCATTATTACAAAAAAATGTAGAGCTTTCATCCTCATTTAAACAATTTCACAGTAATTTCAAGCAAATCACTTAAATATTTGGCTTTATATTCATATGGAGTATTGGACCAAAAAGGAGTGCAGGTGATTTAGTGTGGTTGATATTTCCGTGATCATGTAACTGCCATAGTTATTTTATTACCATAGCATATATACACAGACACTATATACTTCTTAGGGAGTGGAGATCATAAGTAAACATTGTCAGCAGATGCAAAGCCTGTGACAAGAGTAATTGACATTAACATACAGATTTACACTTCTGTGCTCAGAAGGAATTCATTCATGTCCAAGAATTCATATGTTTTACTGCATTACACATTTGGACTAAACTAGCAAATACTTTTGATCCCAAAACAGTAAAAAAAAAAAAAAAAAATGCATCAAAGTTTGTTCCGATAAAAAACATCCCTCGCCTATTCTTATATTGAAATTAAAAATGAAAACTTGAGATTCATTATTTGAAAGCACTTTAATGGGTACATTTTGTACTGTACCTGTTTTTATCACAAGGAAGAAGGATTTTTTGTGTATGTGCGTTAGAAAAACTATACAGTACGTCACCACTTACTTTAAAATGAGTCTGAAAAGTATTGATGTTGAGATAATTGTGAAGTTTCCCAGCAAGACAGCTACAGCCTTTAGACAAATGAAAAATAAAAAACAAATAATAAATCTACTGAGTTTGATTTGAAACATTCTAGCTATACATAAATTATTCTTTGTTGGCGATTGGTAAAAATTCAAGTTGATGCAGGATTATCCCTTTCCCATGTTACCTAGATTGAGTTCCGTGCGCTGAGTTTCACATGTACATTATCCTATTCCTCATACTCCTTTACTCGTAACACATTAGATGACAAGATATGTGTTTTGAGATAGATTTTAAACATTCCAGCTGTACAAAAATTAATTTTTACGTGATTAGTACACCTTCAGACTTTTTTCATTTTCTGCCATCCTCAAGCAAGAGCGATGACCTTGCCATGCTGCCTTGGATGACTGATAATGTTATTCACCAAGATTTCCCGTAGAGATTCAGCTTGGATATTGTCTATGTAATAATAATATTGATCACTTAGGATCGCTAAAAACAAAAAAAGTACCATAGTGCTTACAAAATCACAGAAAGTGAAGAGAAACGTAAAATACTTCATCAACTTAGGTAAATCACATTAAAATACTGAGGGAAGAAATATGTTTAAGGAATCTTTTGAAAGAGGCAATACAGGTTGATTCTCCGATGGAAAAAGGGAAAGTTGTTCCATGTTTTGAAGCAGCCACTGCGAAACGTTTTTCGGTAGATGAGATTCTGGATTTGGGAATAATACAGTCAAACCTGCTTTAGTGACCACCTGTCTACAAAGGCCACATTAGTTGTTTCCCTTGAGAATGGTTTCTCTTTGAATCATGTACTAAAGGAACCTGTCTACAAAGGCCACTTTTTGTGTTTCCCTTGGGCGGCCCCTATAGACAGGTTTGACTGTACATAGCTTAACGGTTCTACTATGATCAATTAATAGTCAGAAATTAGAAATAAACCTTTAATTGGTTACATCAGTCATTCAAGTAGAGATGTACATGTATATAGTACAAGAAGTCGTCCTGTGACACATACATGTAGATGCAGAAGTACACAGGTATTTTTATATTACTTACCGGTTCAAAGAAAGTCATAACTTGGTTACATCAGTCATTCAAGTAGAGATGTACATGTAAACAGTACAAGAAGTCGTCCTGTGACACATACATGTAGATGCAGAAGTACACAGGTATTTTTATATTACTTACCGGTTCAAAGAAAGTCATAACTGAAAATCCAATCAGATTATCAAAGAAATACAGCAGGCCTGGGATGCTCCATTTAAAGAACTTGAGACATTCTGGCCAGCTGAACTGAATGAATTCCTTGAACATAGGTTTACCTGCAACAAACGAGAGACAAAAACATGGTCTTTTATTCAAACATGTTCGTGGGGATTGAATGTAAATTCAATAATGATAGTAATCTGGATTTATGTAAAGCTTAATATGAAATACTAATTCTAAGCTCTTTACAGATATTATCACCCTGGTTATCTGATTTATTCACACACTATGTGCAGTTGTGCACAATCTTCACTCCCTGGGGGAGTATTCTTACCCTATCTACATGTAGATGTAAGGTTTAATATGTCACATTCTTAAGCGTTTAAATCAAAAAATTTCACATACTTAAAAAATTACAAAACTTGGTAATGGTATGAATAATTTAGTTTTAAACTGTATACCGTACCTAACTTTGATAGCCTTATAAAACTCCTAGAGAATGGACCCATAACATGAACATATATCATTTGATTTGATTTGATTTGACATACTTTATTCTATATCAACATCATTGTAGGCAAAAACCTAATTAACTATCTTCTTTAAACATTACCTGAAATGGAATTACATAGTAATATATTTTCTATATCATAACCAAATGATTGGTAGCATGCTGCCATGTGTGATGCATTCAATCAGACTATACAATTACACTATACCACGCTTTTCAGGATAAAGTGTGCACTAGTTTCAAGTACTATTCAACGATTTCGAAGTATGCAATATGCAGCAGTATGCATAGAGTTTAGTGCGCTTAAAAACTACTGGTTTTAAACTTGAGATTATTTGCCAGCCATATGACACAAGACATAACAACATTAAAATGAATTCTTTTTACATCAAATAACAAGGATCTAAGAGTTTTTATGTATAACACAAATGATGCGTGTTTTCATTTGCTCATTACAAGATATGTTCTCTCTTGCTGATGCTGTTTGTGCACCTATCATACTCAGCCTGACGGCTTTGTAAGATGGATGCACGCACAGTCTCAACTCATGTGTAGATAGATTGTATAATGAACTCATTTGAATGCATCATTTGTATAATGACAATAATAAACAATCAGCTTGATTATAAAATACTACAAGCTACTACATACAAACAGAGAAAGTATAATCCTGTGCCTGTACATGCCCATAAACATTTCCTATATCAACTTGCCACCTACATGTACAGAGTACTAGATGAATCAGTTTCATCCCACACAAAGTCCATTCTACACTTCTCATCTTATATAGCATTGAACAACACAACCCAAATGTACAAAGAAAATGCTTGGTTTTTTTCTCACCGCTCATCTCCAATTTGAGCATGATAGACAAACATACGACCAGTTTCACCGCCTCGGCACACACGTTCACTGTCACAGGCAAGTAGTCATATTTGTGATCTGATCGAGGGAAGAGGGGAGAAAAAATGGGAAAATATAATCACTTTCATTCTTCTTTTCATGAATGATGTATTTTCCTTGCAGAATGACAATATCATTGATAAGAATGTCGAAAATTATGACAAAGGTGATAATGATGATGATGATGATGATGATGGTAATGAATGATGGTAATGATGATGATGATAATGAAGATGTTAATGATACTAATGATGATGGTAATGATGATGATGATAATGAAGATGTTAATGATACTAATGATGATGGTAATGATGATGGTAATGAATGATGGTGATGATGGTGATGATGCTGATGGTAATGATAATGATAATGATGATGGTAATGATGATGATGATAATGAAGATGTTAATGATACTAATGATGATGGTAATGATGATGGTAATGAATGATGGTGATGATGGTGATGATGCTGATGGTAATGATAATGATAATGATGATGGTAATGATGATGATGATAATGAAGATGTTAATGATACTAATGATGATGGTAATGATGATGATAATGGTGATGGTGATGATGCTGATGATGGTGATGGTAATGATGATGATGATAATGGCGATGGTAATGATGATGATGATAATGAAGATGTTAATGATTCTAATGATGATAGTAATGATGATGATGGTAATGATGATGACAATGATGATGGTGATGATGATGATGATGGCAATGACAATAAAGGAACAATGAAACAGTAAGAACAACTTAAATACTAGTACTATTTTTAAATTATGAATCGTCTTTGTCGTTAATTGGAAGAAGTTTTGCATGTTACATGATTTGACAAGAAAAGATATAGATGTATATTTAAGAAAAGTAGTTTTAGTTGTGCACGTACATGTAGAATGTTGGCACCAAATACAATTCCTCAACATGTAGTTAATTGTAATATTGATTACTAACCTTCATTAGCTGATAATCTCATGAGCATTACTCTGCCAGCTCCAAGCACAACATAAACAGTTGTCAAGGCTACGGTTGTCATTGAAGGGCACTCCATTGTCAATAGATTTGGCTCGTATCTGTTTCTGTTGATTTATTCTCACATGTGCCTCTTGTTAAATCAAGGATAACTGCGTTGATTGTTGTGTAATGTGCCACGGGCCACGTCCCCCATTATATAGCTGTAGCCCTGTATTTAAAAAGGGGATAAAAGACACAAATTAATTGAAGAGCAAACAAGTTGTGCTTGTCTTTAAACAGTCATCATATCAACTCAATTGGAGGGGCTAAAATTCCTGTGAACTATCTGTTTATACTAATATTGATGAGTTGAAGACTGATTTTTTTTGGCAGGGATCTGTGCATGTAACCAGGTAACTAAGATGGACGAAATTAGCAACCATAATAATTACAGAGTACAGTCGATAACTTCATGCACGCACCCCTTCGTCTGTACGGTATGCAATTGTATTGTAATTGTGCAGTGGTTTGCCTTATAGTTATACTAATGTAAGGAGCCCGAGAAGACAGGTGAATTACAGGTGAAACCTGTGAGAAATTGTATTGACCTAGAGTAAAGTACCCGGTTTTCGGCCACTTAAGACAAAATCCTATTTATTGGACTCTTTACTTCCTATTTATTATCATTTCTTGTTCAAATCATGAAGCAAATATTATTATTATTTAAACAAAAAAAGAATCCCAAAAAAAAATCACGAATTGCCATGACAATATTCATTTCAATTTTCACTGTTTTGGAGCCGGTTATCGGCCGAGCGTTTCAGTTTACGGCCGCATGTACAAAGTCAATAGGAAGCGCTCGCGCGCGCCGTGCGTTTCTGCGCTGATGTATAGCACAAGCGGGCGGAGCAGGTATCCCACGCCGGAGCTCCCGGGTGCTCGCCTGGCCGAATACAGGCACAGCGGTGATCGGAAGTTGGAATCTGAATTAGACAGACATATCGTGTGTGCGTCGCGGTGTGCGGCTGCATTGATTTAATACATGCGATGAGATACTTTTGAGCTTGCGACCAGCACAAAATCGGGCTCTATATCTGAAAAATACTTGAAATAAAGCTCATTTTATGGTACCCATATTTCTTACATACACGCGTAAGAAACTCGATTTTTCAGATTTGGGTAGCGGGACCGCCGATTACATCGCTAAAATGTGATATTTTAGGATATATTTTTCATTGCAAATGTGGTTCTTCAGTGACACTGGCATGGTATGGTATGTGTGGGATATGTGTTATGCTATTATGCGATGTATTTTAAAGTGATTTTACCATGTATCCAACCAATTGGCCGAAAACCGGAGCTGACCGATTACCGGGTACTTTACTCTATTAATAATATAATGTCTTCGTTTTTAGGAAAAAATACTCCATAAAAGATGAGAAAATTGACACAATAGAGGTAAGAAATGTAACAACTTTATATCATGACCATTAATAATTGTTTGAACAATTGATGAAGATTTTGGGGTAGGTTTTAGTAGGGTATCTCCACGCCGGAGTTCCGGGTCAAAAATGGATACGAAAGTACACGAGCGGCTAGCGCGAAGCGCCTCAGTAATACGAGTCGATGTCGTTTTTTTTTTATAGGGTTTCCTAACCAACTAGTAATAATTAATACAAGCCCCAATATGAATTCATTAATTTGAGAGTAGTTGTCATGACAAAAACTAGAAACTCACCTTGGAAATTGCCTTGTTTTCGAATGGACTTCGGAGTAAAAACGTGTAACTTGGCTTGGCTTTGCTTGACTGAATCTTACGATACCACGTACTGTTAAGTACCGGTACGTGTGACGTATATTTTATGGTAGCTTCTATAATAAAGGGAAATCCGACCTTTGTATTATTTCATTTGTATTGTGACGGAATAGGGGGGGGGGGGGGGGGTGGTTAATAGATAATACAATAGAGGAAGAAAGAAGGGGGGTATGGGAGGAAGAAGGGGGGTAAAGAGGAAGAGGGGTGGTGGTGTTGTAATTCCCCAGTGAGAGAGAAAGGGGGGGGGGGTGCTTGCATCGCTTGCCACCAAAATCAAGTCAACCTTCACAACACAGTAAGCTGCCACCATCTAGTCTTTAGTAAGAGCGCTAGATTCTCTTCTCTTTACAACTTGATGTTGTAAAGAGATTAATACCAGACCTGTTGGATCACACAATAAACGATATTTAAATGACTTAATTATTCACAAATCACAGCCTTCTCATTGGCTCATTTCGCACCTCTTGAATTCAACACAACGCACTAATGGTCAACCTTTGACCTGAACCCTGGGCTCTCGTAAACATTCGCGCTAGATTCAACTCGTGCCACGAGCAGCCTGGCTCATCTCCACACTGTTCCACACTTCAAGTAGCTTGTATTTCTTCATTTAGGTGAGTTAAAGCATCATCATAAGATCTGAATAATTCTGTCAGTACTCTGTAAGCATGATTTAATCCTAATATTTGTATCAGACTTGTACAGCTCAGATTCTCTAACGTTCTGCACAACACACTGCAAACATGTGACAGGGCACACTGGGTGTCCTGTACACGCAGTTAAAACACACACATTATTCGCACTCGTATCTTGGGGCACTTTCTCTCACGTCCTCTATCCCAATCCTCCCATAAGGTAGCGAGCAATCTAAAGGCACAATGACATGGATAAGTGTCTGAATAGAACCAGACAATGATTTCGTTCTTCAAGTTCTCAATCGCGCTATCTAAAGAAGATGTAAAAGTACCAATCACCATTCACACTTAACTAACTACTGTAACTAATGTGTAACCAGACATGTATTACTGTAACTTGTAAGAATGAATCTGTCAGCCTAATTGTTCAGGTGAACAAATAACAAGTAACACTTTATTAATGGATTTCAATTAACAGTGAGGCTTTCATGCCTAATTCAACGTTGACGTAATTCAACTCGAAAATGTATGCAATGCAATTACTAAGTATAAGAGTTCAAATGTACATTATATACAGATGTGTTGTCACTTTTGTCAGACAACCAATCATTTACCTAAGTGATACTAACTTAATTGTATAGACTATAATAGTAGATGCAGTATTATGTTGAAGAGTTCTATAGGGACAGGTTTAAGATGTTACAATAATAGATCATTAGCAACTGAATTCTATTCCAAAGTGTACCTTTTCTTTCCTTCTAAAACATGAGAAAGTAATTCTATTCCGGGCACAACATAGCCACTTCATCTTACGGTCAATCTAGGCTGACCAGCAGCCATCTAATAATTACTTCATTCCAAGTTCAAGTACAAATACTTAACTGCCTTCCTTCTTATTGCCTAGGCATAATCAACTTATGGTATTCGGATTCACCGCTCAACGGGTATTTTACTTACTGGTCTATCCACCCCTAATCTCGTCATGGCAGCTCACTCTGTCGGCATAACCATGCGATCTTTAATCCTTAGGTCTTTACAATAGGTTATAGCCTCAAATTTCCAATTCCTATCCTATTGCTAACTTCCAGAATTACTAATCAGTTCTAACGTACTTTAATCTTAAGACAACCGGTTTGTCTAGGGATTCGTTCCTTGCTCTCTGTAATTCAGTGCTTATTAAGGGATCATTATCAATAAGTGTTACTAAGATAAAATATACATGTAAGTTACAGCTCCATAAATACATAAGCTACTTATATTAATTTGTACATCATTAATTGTTGAATTGTGAATCTATTTACAAGTGACTAAATCTTATGCAAGTAATAGCATCAGATCGTATTTACTTTGTTCATAAATATGACGAATATATTTAAAGTACAACTATATAGAATACAATTATTAAATATACAAATGTTCAATATATATAAGTTACAACTGCTTTACATGTAGATAGATATATTCTTAAACTACTAGGTACAGGTGACAGACTAAGTTACTGAGGCCCTCAGCCTCGTCCTCCAGAAATTCATATTACTAGTAATGTATTAGGTCACACAGCAGATATGGTCTATAGTCTAGAGTAAAAATCGATAATAAAAGAGAAAATGTTCCAATGACCAATTAAATAATCAGTCCTCCATTGAATAATAAGCAGTAGCACTAATATTCAATATCTCACAAATAGATAAAAGTTTGTACATGTATAAACATTCTTAGAACTACTTGTCACAGAAACCAGATTGGAATTGGTTAGACCTTTAGGTATACCCGCAAAGGATCAGTTAGTCAAACTATCCAGCGACCTGAAGTACACCTAATTTCAGCGTAGCTAATGATTTATTAGCTACAAAGAGTAAAATCTCTCAACCAAAAGTAATAAATAACGGGAATATGTTCACCACTTCCAATGCTCATTTCTTAACAGTGACTGTGATATCTGAACTGACATCTCTGTAATGCAATATAATTGTAAAGACATTTTATTAAGTGTTGCATTATTCAATAAATAATTACTGGCACAGTAACATAAAATCCAAGAATTCATGTCCATTTTGTGTATTCTGTTTCAGTTCCAAGCATACATATTGATAACTATTATCTGATAAATGAATACCAATATAACAAGCATCCATATACACAGCAGTCATACTAATCATATGCACAATACCAATTTGGCTAGTTTTGGGCCATCCCATTTTGGCTAGTTTTGGGCCATCCCATTTTGGCTAGATTTTGGCCAATCTGCTTCTGGCCTGTATTCGATTCGGCCTTAAAAACCATGAAAATACACATTTAACTCTAAAATAAACATTAAAACATCAATTTTGGTACAAAGTCCAATAGATTGAACAACATTTGTTGTTGGTGCAATGCAAATCAGCTAATCTGCATATGAATAGCAATGGGCGGAAACGAAAGGAATAATTACCGTAAATCTCGGTTCAACAAGGTTCACAGACAGGTCAGTTTCACAGCGCATCTAATGCCAAAGTGTACAGCCTAGCCACATCGATCAAACTCGGCTATCACATATCAGCGCACTACCATGCGCTATGCGCGTATGCTTTAACCACGCGAATATGTACGCACATGAATATTCATAAATCTTCGCAATAACTATTTCAAAGTAAGTGCGATTACATCAAATAATTTGTAACCTTTATACAAAGAGAAATATATTGATCAAAATAAAGTAAGAGCCTTATTCCGAGAGTACAGACATTTAGAATAATGGTAAGTCAGCCTGACAGTATAACTCAGCAATTTAACAAGTGA